AATATGCGTCCAGACACTGATCACGTTGCGATTGATGCTCCAGAAACAGTCTTGGGACGCAGAATGCTTCTCCAAGAAGATCTAGGAGGAGTTTCAGCTTTCTAGCTTAACTCGAACCGCAAGTATGACCACATTTTTTTAGAAGAAAATGGCATCCGGGAGGTCGTAGGCCCATCTTCAAGCAAGACAGTGCATCAGTGCAGAGGTCAAGCAAAGCATAAAAGCAGTGCCAGGAGACTGTGATAGGCGTGTGTGGCAAGATCACATCCCAGGCAACTCATCGGATCCAAATTTCATAAAAATGTGTTGGGAATATTGAAATCGAGGCTCGTCGAAGCGAAGCGGTGTTCCAGCATTGAGGAGCTCACGGCGCATGCCAAGTCAGTCTGGGCTAACTTCAAGCCTGCTATGCTGCCAAACATGCCGGTTGGCATGTCGCAGCATGTCATCACGTGTTTGCCTATGAAATGGGGAGCACATTGAGGGGTTATAAACATATCAAAACGCAATGTACTATGTTTTACATGCAAATAAAAGGTGAGAACGAACTTATGGGACACCCTGTACACTTCTTACGCCTATAACGAGGAACTAAATAAAAATTGATTAGAAAGCCTTCCTAGTAACTAGGTACTTTTGTGATCAGAGTCGTTTTAGTATTTTAGTTATATTTTAATTTAGTTGTCATTGCCTTTATTTTGTCTAAAAATATGTTGCTTCTTACCACAAGGGAGCAATGCCGCTTCAACCCTATTGACCGTATTGCGTAACGACGGCAGTCATATTGCGCAAGCCAGGAATCGGCCGCCACCTATGCTTGGGAATAGGGACGGTTAGAATACGATTTACCTGTATGGCCGCAGCCAGCGCAGCGTAAGGGGGGGGGGGGACACAAGGGGCGCGTGCCGCCTCATTAGATGCATGGTGCCCTATGGGCCCGAGAGGCCCTGCAGTGCCAATTAGTGGCCGCTCAGGGTCCAAGCGTGCCTCATTTCGACTGATATAAGACCCGCAGGACTCGTGAGAGCACCTCACGGAGACACGGGCTCCTGAGTCGCCACACATCACACATCTCCATAACGGCCCCACTCCGACTTCTGATAGCCCTGTGCTGGCCTCTGAGTGCTCTTGCTGACCCATTAAGCGTCAGCTCAGCTCTAATTAGGGTCCTGACCCATACCCGCATGGAACGGCTTCACACCAGTGTCTCTGAGGGCCCATAACGGCGCCTGTGAGGGCCTCACACCGGCGCCTCTGAGAGCCCAATACCACCAATCTGAGGGACTAACACCAATGTTTCTTAAGGCCCTACATCGGCGGCGGCTCTGAGGGCCCCACACTGGCGCCTCTGAAGGTTTTACACAAGCGCATCTGACGGCTACTTACCTGCAACTCTGTGGGCCCCACACTGGTGACTCTGAGGGCTCCCAGGGAGTCCTCCCATGAGAGCCCTCAGGCGTCGCTGCAGCGACGCCTGAGAGTCCCATGCCGATCTATAAGGACTCCACAGGGCTCCTGAAGATAGGCCGGCAAGTGAGGGCCGGCAAGTGAGGGCCGGCAAGATAGGCCGGCAAGTGTGACGTCATCTTTGACCTGACCTGAAAATGACCTCAGTAAAAATTATAGACCTTATCCATTTGTACCCTGCACCGTTTACCGCTTGTCGCTATCTTGCTTTATTCTCGAGATCTCGCTGTCGCTCCCGCTCGTTATAATAGACAGGTCATAAAAATTACCTGACCTGAGGTCAACGCAGGGCGATATCCACTTTTTTACTTTCGCATATGAATGACAATTGATAAGGCTTTAATCGTCATCAGACAAAATTACAACTTTCAGTGGGGAAAATATCAAGGTCACTCTTCGAAAAATAGGTCAAAAGGTCACGTGATCAAAATTTTCAAAAATTGAAAATGCGAGATAGCCAAAATGTTTGTTGGCTGATTGTGAGTTGAACCATATAAAGTTTTTATCGTAGAAAACCAATAGTTTCTGAGTTATAGGCCGCCAAACATAGGGCTGCAGCGCGACCTGCTGGAATTGCCCGAGGCTATATCTCGGAAACCGTTGTTCGAAGAAAAAAATCCTTGTCACAGCTGGCTTCCCCGCCCATCACACCCCCTTACACCAAAATAAAATATGAGGGTGCAAATTTAATTTTTTATTTGTCGATTTGTCGTGGAACGCCCCACGTGTAATAGCAGCGTGTTGCTATCACCGGTGAAACAGGGCCCAGGTGGCCTACCATTTGTTTTTTTTTTTAAGAAAAAACTATCGTATCACGGCTATGACGAAAAATAAGTGGCCTAAATCCGATGAGAAGACAGGATTTGGGGGTACCCTAGGAGAAGGTTTGGCTCCGTGACCTGGTATGCCCCCCCCCCCCGCGCTGAAACCCTGGATCCGCCAGTGCGTGAAATAATGCATTAAGGATTAAAGAACCATGCAAAGTTAGCCCTTTTACTAGTTTTACTGGCAAGGGCGATAATGTTCCCCTGAATGTCCTTATTGATCAGTACGAGAATTTCTCTAGAGTTCTCGTAGATAATTTCTCTAGTTTCTGAAGAATTTTCGGGACCCATGCTCGTTTCATACTGGATGCAAATATATGCAAGGCACACATCCTCAACGCAAGACACCTTTTTCGGGACGAAAAATAGAATATCTTTGCCTAGGGTGATCGTTGGGCTGTAAAAGCTCCTGATTTATGCTCGTCTCAGCCCAAGCTACGGAACTGCTATTCCAGTTCAAAACCCATGTTAAAATGTGAACTATTTCCTTTAATGCAGGCAACAGGTCTGCTCTGCAGGTGGATCCTAATTTTTCATGGTGGGTGGAGGTGAAGTGACGCAGTTCAACAGGTAGTAGGTAGTACCGCCCTAGATTCTTCCAGATACTGCCATCCCATGGGTGAGACTAAATGCTTACTTCGAAATCTAAGCTGCGTTGCGGCATTGGCGGTTATGTGCGGCGTGTATGCCGCATGCTTAGTAAGCGGCGACCACTAAATTAAAAACTCAATAGCTTTGACCTGTTTTCAATGGATAACACTGCATACCAAAAATGTCCATCGCTCTCGTCATAGGATATTTAGATTTATATAACTAACTTATCTACATCATCGTTTTGAACCAAATTAATACTTTCAACTTGACCCTCGCCCGTATTGGTGTTTTTCCAGCTGCGAACGTATAAGGTATAACCCCTTGCCGTTTCGCTCCTGATCAAGCTAGAGCTTCGCGGAAAAAAACGAGCGTGTTGCCCGTGACGAGAGGAAGCCGATGATACCCAATTTTAAGGTCCTAGGTCATCGGTTGACCTTCCAGGTCAGGTCAATGACCCAAAAGGCGGGAAAATCAGGACCTGTTAGAACGTCGTAGTGTGGCTGCTATGGGGTTTTTCGGGGTGCTGATCACGAATATCATGCTAGTTTTGATCACAGATGATGTCTTCATTCATTTAGGCCAGGTCGGGTCAGGTCAGGTCAGGTCAACCAGTAGAGGTCCTGCCGGGTATTTGTAGTAGGTGTCAACCACCTCTGACAGCCTCGTAGCATGTTACGAAGGCACCAAAACTACTTTGTAAACGTTCATGTGGTTGCTAAATTCGAATTCAGCTCGAAAAACTGGTCTAGAAACATGTCAAACTCGAAAAAGTGAACCGAGGTCACCAAAGGTCAGTGACCTGACCTGACCTTCAGATGACCTTGACACCCACCCTAATGCATGGGGGCAAGATCATATCACATGTTTGAACGCTTGAAACCACGAAAAGACTGCAAACGCGCTGCTAATGCGAGCCGACATACGCTGAATCGCGGTTCCGGCCAAACATGGTCTCGAAAAGTAGGTCACAGGTCAAGGGTTATTTGCGTCAGGGTCATGAAATTTTCAGGGTAGGTGTAAAATTGATCAACGCGAGGGTACTAAAAGTTACGTCGTGATCGGCCGCTTTTTACGCGAGTTATTCGCGAAAAACCGAGGGGAGTCCGTTCGACCCCCCCCCCCCTAAAGGGCGAGGGTTAACTCACAGTCCGAACTCCGAACAAGTTCGGTCTTGTTTGTGAATTTGTCGGAGCATCACCTAAATCTAGTAGAGATGATGGATGGAAACTAGGCTTTTAAGGAGGGAAGGGAGTCGGTGACGGTCAGGGGCACTACAAGCAGAGCAGTCATAAGCTGGTGACAGGGCTGACATACCATGTTTTGATAGCATGACTGAAACAGACTTTTTGGGTAGCCAGGAAATCGCATGCGAGAGCCTATTGAAATTCTTACATCGGCCTTTATATGCACCAGTCGTATATAGGTGCCGGATTTGGCATACGATTTCCAGACAATCGAAAGACTGTTTGGAGCCAACGAAGGAAGGAATGAGTGAGTACTAAGTTGAAAGCATTAATTTGGTTCAAAATGATGATGCAGATAACTTAGTTATTTAAATCTAAATATCTTATGACGAGAGCGATTGGCATTTTTGGTATGCAGTGTTATTCATTGAAAACAGGTTGGAGCGTTTAAGTCTTTAATTTAGTGGTCGCCGCTTACTAATCATGCGGCATACACGCCGCACATAACCGCCAATGCCGCAACACAGCTTAGATTTCGAAGTAAGCATTTAGTCTCACCCCCATCCCATTTAGCGGGCAACTAACAAGACCAGCGGCAGCAACTGACATCAGTCTAAAAGGTCAAATTTGACCTTGGTTGACTTTAAAACTAGCTATCAGTTTCATTTTAGGGTATCTGGGCTCGTGGCAATACATTCTTATGATGAAAATTGCCACAATTCTTCTTTCACTTCGTGCCAAAGACGAAAAGTTTTAAATTGGCTAACTATTTCCTAGTGCTGAGAGGAGCAAACATCACTTTTCAGTGCCTCGATTTCCAACTTGTGTCTGGCAAACAATTTGTCTTGCTTTTATTGAAAAAGGCATTTATACTTTTTAAGCTAACAAGTCTTAAATCCATGTTCCTTTTAACTAAAAAAATATTTTCTGATTTCTCACAACACTAGCTCTTTCACTTCCTTTTCCGTTTCGACGCGTTTGGGGGCGGGGTGTCCCCAGTGAACTGTTCAGCATGGTGAGTTTTGATCGGATTCTGGGTCTGGTTGGATTAATTATTGCTCAGATGATTATTCCCCTGAAGTGCCATGAACACGAAAGCAAATTATTTCTCTGGGGAGCAGTAAATGAGTGGCGGTCTGTCACCCGTCTCGCCGCATGCGTCGGGTTAGGTTACCTATGCGTTTTGTATGGGCTTTTAACAGGAATCATGAGAGCAAGTCGCCGTATTTTCATTAAAGCTACTTCTCACGACCTAAATTTTGACTTCTGAATGCATTACATGATTTCCATGTTTTGTAGACAGATGTTTGGGTAATGTTCTTGCGAACCTTATACTGAAGGTAATCACTTAGCAGTTTTCATGCATATGTTCAGTCGGGGGAGGTTTGGTCAATCGTTGTTATTTTTAGCACATGCCATTTTTGGCAACCATTTGCCAAAAATGACAAGATATCAGCTATTTTTGGCAACGTGAAGCCTATTTGGTATTAGTAGAGCGGACGTCCCACGAAGGTTTTCCAACTAAGGAGAGGCGCTATGCCTGGAGGCACTTCTTTCTAACAAAACCTAGACAAACCTAACCTAATCTACAAACCTACATCCTAAAAACCTACCCTACAACCTACAAACCTCAAACCTACAGCGCCTCTCCTTGGTTGGAAAACCTTCGTGTGACGTCTGCTCTACTAATGCCGCCTATTTCAGTCGGGGAAACTATGGCAAAATCTGCTATTTTTAGCAGTCTGCTATTTTTAACAGAAATCTGCCAAAAATGGGTACGCATGTGACGTCACCGTACCCAATTATAGCAGATTTGGGTACAGCCCCATACAAAAGCAGATCTGCACCCTAATTGAAGCAAATGCGCATCAAATGCCTGGCAGGTTCATGATGAGAATAGTGCTGAGAATGTCCTCTGATATTTTTGTTCAGATCCGACTATTTTTAAATGATGAATTTGAAAATAGTCGGATCTGAACAAAAATATCAGAGGACATTCTCAGCACTATTCTCATCATGAACCTGCCAGGCATTTGATGCGCATTTGCTTCAATTAGGGTGCAGATCTGCTTTTGTATGGGGCTGCACCCAAATCTGCTATAATTGGGTACGATGACGCCACATGTGTACCCATTTTTGGCAGATTTCTGTTAAAAATAGCAGACTGCTAAAAATGGCAGATTTTGCCATAGTTTCCCCGACTGATTTCACTCCTCAGCCAGGAAATCACTATTTTGGAAATACAAGCACTGATTTTGGAAAAGAAGTGCTGCCACCTGGTGCAAGAAGAATAATTGGTATTTATGTGAATAATCCAGCTTTAATATCAGTAGGTGGAACTATGGTCATGAGTACCCAAATATAGGAACGATCCCATTTTTGGGAACGGAGTTCCCAAATATGGGAACGGGCATTCCCATTTATGAGAACGGAAGGTAATTTTTCGGCCGTTCGCCCATTAAAACTCATTAGTGCATCGCGTCTAAAAAAAGTGCACACTAATTTAAGTATCTGCTAAGTCTCTATAAAATTATCTTTAATCTGACCGTTGAACAAGGAAATTGACCGTTGAATGACATTTTTAATGATTTTTTGAAATGACGGAATGGTGAAAACATGGGTTATACTACATTTAACATGCAATTTTAAGGAAAATGAAGCGTTTTTTACATTTTGAGGTCAAGTATAATAATTTTCGCCTGGTTATGAAGTTTCATACTAGCGACACCAGATGCTGACATATGCAAGCGAACACGCGGACAGTCCCCAGGTAATATTGTTGACATTTGGTGTCGAGGCGGACGACCGCGTAGAACGTGCGTGATTTTACCGAACTACTGTTGTAAACTCAGTTTAAGTGTTCGAAAATTATTCAGCTGTATTTTATCAGCCCTGAAAGACATATTTTATTTGGATGCTAGCTGTTTAGCGTTGTTTTATAAGGAGCGTCATGAGCGTGGTTTTTGTCTTCCGTGTTTCTAAGCATGATCGTTTGGGGGAATTTTCTCTTATATAGGTCGCTCTGTGTGGCTTATTTATAATTTTTATGCTGATTTCGATCATTCCTCGTGCCCATCCTACCAGGCCTTTTGCCACTTACTCTCATTAAGAAAGGAAAAAACTAGATTTTCATTGGGACTAGGTGTTTTGAGGGTGCAACATATTCAGCGTTCCCATTTTTGGATACTTCCTTGTGCTCGTCAACTATCGGTGATAAACAGACAGGTGCTTGACATGTCTCCACCCTCGGCGCGGACGGTGGATATAGGTATGGAAGACCTTGTTGAACATCGCTGAGCGTTGTGAATTACGTAATCCTGCAGAGGGGGGCGTGCCCGCTGCGAGATCGACGGGAATAAAAGCGCAGAAGACCGGGCGAAACATGCGACGGTCTTGCCGGAAAGGTCATCTGATGATTGTTGCGTTAACAATAATTTGCGGCGTTGGACGTGATGCTTGTTAATGAAAAGAGCCCCTGAAAGGCGTCGGTGAAATCGTTCCCAATTTTGGGTACGCCGTTCCCATAATAAGGAACGCTTGCAGCGCCAGTGTACGAGAGCGTTCCCAAATTTGGGCTCGCGGCCCGGATGATGGACTGCTTTAGAAATAGGGGAACGATTTGAAACTACGATGGGCCTTACAATATCAAACTCTTTCCCAACAATATTGAGACAAATATTAGGCGGTTCACGATCGTTTTATATTTTTTGGACGTCATTTAACAGTTCTTTTTCTTGTTTTAAATAATGCTTTCATGGCGTTCCCATATTTGGGTTTATCGTTCCCAAACATGGGAACGAAAATGCGTTCCCGAAAATGGGTACGCTTGACCATAGTTCCGCCTACTGATATGGCCGTTGTTTGTATGGTAGTCCATGGCTGATGTAGACCCTTTTTTGTGGCCTGAAGTTGGTACCTCAATTTGCAGCATCTGAAAATGATCAATATTGATCGAAAACATAATTTTGATGAAAAAAGTGTTGAAGTTGAAAGAAGTCAAGGTGGCAGTTTCATCCAGATGCGGTGGCTTTTTTCTTGAATTTTTTTTTGTAAATGACCATCGCCATGTAATGACGGATGATGCCTGGCCGTCAGTTAGCAAAAATAATTTCAAGAAGTAAGCCACCGCATCTGAATAAAATGACCTCTCAGCTTAACATATTATTTTTTTCTCATCAACATCATGTTTTCGATCAATATCGGTCATTTTCGGATGCTTCAATTTTAAGCAGAGCTGGGCAAGTGCGTTCCTTTAGTGCGTTCCTGCGTTCTTGCGTACGTACGCACCGCCTTTTTAGGAACGCAGGAACGCAAAGTTTTTTCAAAGGAACGCAAGTAAGAGGAACGCACCACCCGAAATTTTGAAGCGTTCCTCATTTTGTGAAGTGCGAACCCTGCTATACCATGAAAAAAAAGTGCCCGAACTAGAATTTGTCCGATGTAACAAGAACTCAGAACCCCCAGATAGGTAGATGAGTTGTTGGATATTGCTGCCAATGACCTCTGTGTCAAATGTTTGAATCTCGAGTACGTGTGTTTGCCGGTAGAGGCGCCACTTGTCGGTCGAATCAAGGAAGGCTTGTTTAGATTTAGTGGTGATGTTTACTATGCGATTCGGTTTCAGGCATTAAATGTGTAAAGTAAATATGATAACTTTTACCTACTTAGATACATCTTTCAACTTAACTATTGTTTTTAAGCAGGTCGTATTTTTGTTGAAAACCCTACGGATGATATTGGTAAAACGTATTTCAGATATTCTATTCGGAAAAGAGATGTCGAGTTGCTTTTCGGCCCCGCGTCGCCATTCTGGGTATTCTGTGATCGATTCGCCCCGTGTTTGGTTGGGCCCGCGCCGCGTGGTTCGGCGGTATTTTTGAGGGAGGAACGCAGGAGCGCTAACGCACCGAGCGAAAAAAATTGAGGAACGCTATTCCAGGAACGCACTAACCGCGGGCGGAGGAACGTAGGAACGCTAACGCACTACCGAAAATCGAGGAACGCGCCCAGCTCTGATTTTAACCAGCGCACTGACGGGGGTCTGCGCCAACTTCGCACCGACGGGGGGGGGGCGGATGACCGCCCCCCCCCCCCCTGAGATCTCGAGAACGAAGCAAGATAGCGACAAGCGGTAAACGGCATCGGATACGCACGGACAAGGTCTACAATTTTTACTAAGGTCATTTTCAGGTCAGGTCAAAGATAACGTCACAGGGGTCGAAAAAGTCAAAATGGCGGCGCTAGATATAGAGAGTTTTTCTCGAATAACTTTCGAATTAGTCAAGATAGGAACAAACTAAGGGCATCATCGTGATCCTCTGGTCAATCCGCATCGAATGATATATATGTTGACCTCGAAAGGTCAAGGTCAAAGGTTGACCTCAGGTCACGTGACCTCGAGGTCATCATGTATACCATTCGATGCGTCTTGACGAGCTGAACACAATGAGACCATCCGCGCGGCTGTATCTTGTTCCTGTACGGAGTTATTGGCAAAAAACCTTTGGTGACCTTTGATGACGTCACATGACCTTACAGCTGCCCAACAGCAAAACAGACCTCAAGGTAGTGAAGATTGATCTTATATGAAGTCATGTATGGTATATGGGGCCATTCCGACGCGTTTTAGTGGTAAAAACAGGGAGTTGATTTTTCCCCCATTGACTTATAATGGGGAGGTCGCGAAATTGACCTGACCTTAGGTCAGTGTGTCCAAAATCGTAATGTTGCGGGGAAATCCACCCATAACGAAAAGCATAATGACATCCTAAAAATATAAATAAAAACATCCACACGGCAGTCACGACTTATAATAACAACCTCGAACCCAAACGTCTAGGAGCAAGAGAAACACAAACTTCGCAAACTCTGACAACACGCCAAGACAACCATTCGAATAACCAAAATGATAAAATATATGACCCGACTTAAAAACCTCATTTAACATCCCGACTATCAGAATGCCCTCAAAGTTCAGTTTCTACATCATTTTCTCGTGACATGTATAAAAACAGTGCTTAAAAAGGGTCGAAGTCAAAATGTATTATAATAACGACATCCTTTCCGGCCTTTTTATCTACATCCTCCCCCTAACGTAAAATGAATTTAGCCACACTGCCTTAGGTCACCGACATCAAAATTCCGAGATATACAAATTGTAGATACTAATGACCTAATAACATCCTGCGACTTTCAAAGGCCTCCGACATGTACTGTAGCTCTGGCACGGTGACAAAGTTGCAAAAAAGTGACTTGAGGTTGGGTCATTCAAAGTGACCTGGTGACCTGACCTTAAAAGTTAGGAGGTTCAAACTTGCACACCATGTGTAAAATTGATGAGAGAATAGTCGTTACCAATTTCGCGGCGCTACGCGCCGCGGTTTTCCCGCTAACCTCAGGGGGGGGGGGGGCGGATATCCGCCCCCCCCGTCGGTGCGCGGGTTAAGTTCCAATGTCAGGCCACATAACAAACTACCATACAAACAACGGGCATATTAAAGCTGGCTTCTTCTTGCACCAGGTGGCAGCATTTCTTTTCGAAAATTATTGCTTATCTTTCCAAAATCGTGATTTTCTCGCTGAGGAGTGAAATCGGCTTCGTCGGTGTAAAAAATAACGGAATCGTTGCCTTTTTGGCACATGTGACTAAAATAGCACGTGCTAAAAATGACGACGATTGACCAAACCTCTCCCGACTGAGTTAGTGAAAACTGTCCAGCCACCAGACTCCCAGTTGGATGAAGGCTTAGCAATGTGTTAACCCGGCAGTTGCTGGGGTATTTCGCCACCCACCGTTTGCTGGGGGGGGGGGGGCGTTAAACGCCCCCAGCCGATAACTCGAGAACCAATAGGCGCAGCGAAATGCACGAGGCGGCAAACGAAAGAACGCGACTAGACGCTTCAGATGAGTACTTTGAAGTTGAATTTTGAGGTCACAGGTCGGGTCAAGGCCAGGTCAAACACCTTGAATCAGGCTTTCAGTAGCATGGACTTCAGGACTTTGCAATGGGCGCCTCTCGTCATAAACTCTGTCAAAACGGTGCACAATCCATCATATATAAGGCCTGCAAGAGTGTCAGCTCCATGTAGAGGTCAGTCAAGCATAGGTCAGGGTCAAGGTCAGGTCAACCGGGTAGGCACATCCCCGAAAATCAAAACTGATATTCACAGCCTGTGACACATGTTCATGGGTAATTTGGGGCGTAGAACACGGTGGTGACATTCATTTTATCATATGTGTACGTGTTTGGCTCAAAAAGTTGAATTTAAGAAATGCATGTATCATGGTCGTGAAGTAGTCACGAGAAATTGCCAAGATTCAGTTCAAGATTTTGGAAAATGCGGAAAGATAATCAATAATCGAAGATAGCCATGTGATTGTTCATGGTATTGGCTGTCTAATGGCGTTTACGGCATGTCTGTATGTCTATTCTGTGATTTTATATGATTTTTTGAACATATGCCGTTTTGGTCGAAAACTCAGAAATCATGACGTCACTAAAACCTCGATATCTTAAGAATTTTCCGACCGATTTTTTTTTTAACTTTGTCACAATAAACTTCAATCAATTCTCTACAGGTACCCAAAATTTGGCGCCTGCGGCGCGCCGTTTTTATGCTATGGCCCGGCGAAAAAATTGGGGGCGTTTAACGCCCCCCCCCCCCCCCCAGCAACTCGCGGGTTAAGTGATTATTGTTATCCCGCGCCCGGCTGGGGGTCCTGGATTTCCACGCCCTGCTGGGGGTGGGGGGGTGGGGTGGGTGTTTGAAGTTTGAACACCCCCCCCCCCCCCCCTTCTAACTCGGCTCCTGGGCCACATAGCGATACGCGGAAGGCGGCGTTCGAAAGAGCGCCAAAAATAATAATGAAATCACTTCGGGCACTTTTGGTCAGGTCACCAGAGGTCATAGAAGGCAAAATTTCGCCGATTTCCAGGTCGAATGTCGACAATTTCCAAGAAGCCAACGCATAACTCGGGAACCAATAGAGCTACTGTAGCGTTTTGGTACCCTCAGGGTATCTGGGGCATCTATCAAGGAATGCGTAAACCAAAAATGAGCCTGATCTGACTTGGATGGCGGCAGGCGGCCAGCGCCTAAATTGTGAACAAGCCAAAATGCTGATAATTTTTACTTTAACCTGACCTGTGACTTCATCGGTCACGGGTCACCTCGAGGCCAATGAAATTAGGGTTCCATCGACAGTTTTTCCAGGGCTATCAGGCGGCGTTGAATTTTGACGATCGGCCCAGTGAATTCGAAGATAAGAGGGGGGGGGACTCTGCAGAGCTCCGTCCCCTCCCACCAGTTACTCGCGTTATGAAAACTACCGCAGTCTTGCGCGGGTTAATAAAAAGTAATAGCATACTATACATGTAACAGTTTGCATTTACCCATTTGGCGTAGGTAACGGTAGTGGACGTCTAAGATGTTGGTTGGTAGTGGCGTCCACCTCTGGTTGCTTGTTTTATAAGGCTGTCGCACTCTGCGGACGATATGAGTATCCGTACATACAGTCTGGCCGCCAGCCGACCTTACTGATTCGTGAGTCTTAACGCACCATTTGACCCCCGTGCTGCGTGTGCCATTGCAGGCGTTGGCACGCCCCCTGATCACCGTCTACGATGAGAAGAACGAGAAGACCGGGCAGACGGTGTCTCTGCCGGCCGTGTTCCGGGCGCCCATCCGGCCCGACGTGGTCAACTTTGTCCACCAGAACATGTCCAAGAACGCCCGCCAGCCGTACTGCGTGAGCCGCCTGGCCGGCCACCAGACGTCGGCCGAGTCGTGGGGCACCGGCCGCGCCGTGGCGCGTATCCCGCGTGTGCGCGGCGGCGGTACCCACCGCTCCGGCCAGGGAGCGTTCGGCAACATGTGCCGCGGCGGCCGCCGTTTCGCGCCCACCAAGCAGTGGCGCCGCTGGCACCGCAAGATCAGCGTCAACATGAAGCGCTATGCCGTGTGCTCGGCGGTGGCGGCCACCGGCGTGCCCGGCCTGGTCATGTCCAAGGGCCACATGATCCAAGAGACGAACGAGGTGCCGCTGGTGGTCAGCGACAAGGTGCAGGAGTTCACCACCACCAAGCAGGCGGTCAGCTTCCTCCGCCAGACCAACTCCTGGCCCGACATCCAGAAGGTGTACAAGTCGCAGCGCACGCGTGCCGGCAAGGGAAAGCTGCGCAACCGGCGCCGCGTGCAGCGCAAGGGCCCGATCGTGGTGTTCGCCAAGGACCAGGGCCTGAGCCTGGCGTTCCGCAACATCCCCGGCATCGACACCATCAACGTGGAGGCGCTGAACCTGCTGAAGCTGGCGCCGGGCGGCCACGTCGGCCGCTTCACCATCTGGACCGAGTCGGGTACGTTGGGCCGGGAGGGCGCAGTGTGGATGTCCGATGTTGTCATGCTGCATGGGCGATTGGGTGTCGTAAGTGGGAGGGGGGGGGATAATAATTACATGATGATATCCGCTTGTGTCCGGGCCAATGAGAGTACCTTGATTAGATAACAAGCTCTGAGATTAATATGCTGTTGCTCTTATTCATTGCTTGATTTCCGTGATGTAATGCTGTTTGAATGTCATCCACAGCCTTCAAGAAGCTGGACTCCCTGTACGGCACGTGGCGTGCTCCCTCCACCCTGAAGAAGGGCTTCAACCTGCCTTCCACCAAGATGGCCAACACCGACCTGGCTGCTCTGCTCAAGGCGCCGGAGATCCTGCGCGTCTGCAGGAGGCCCAAGTACGTTCACCTTCCTCCCTCTCCGCCGCTACTCTGGTGGCTGGTCAGGCCAATCTGTCCGGTGGCATGTTTCCCGCTCAACTGATGATTAAGTTATCCGACAGTGCAGGCTGACGATCTTTTACTTGCCCTCTCTGACGTATCCATGTCGTATCCTCGACATTAGCAGTTCCACGCCGTGGTTTGACGCTCTGTTCCCGTCTGTCTGCGCCCGCAGCAAGGTGGTGGCCAAGCGGCAGTCCAAGCGCAACCCGCTGCGTAACGTGCACGCCATGCTGCGGCTCAACCCGTACGCGGCTGTCGTTAAGCAGGCGGCGCTCGGCGAGGAGAAGAAGGCCACTGAGCTCAAGGCGGCGCGCGCCGACAAGGCCAAGGTAAGCAACCCGGCGGCACTCGGAGAAATCGCGAAATCGCCTGAATTTATTTGTTTTTTACTTTTTGCCCATCAGCTTTTGGTCTTGTCTCATTCTGTCCTTGGCTAGCAATGTTAAAATCAGTGAGGTACGACGTTTTCCAATAATGCACAGGTTTTTAACGGAGCACGTAAAATGGTGACGTCTGCTGGTTCAGCTGCAAGGGTGCGTCTGAGTTGAATTCTCGATAACTCAGCATTACTTAACTCCATGATCCCTAAAAAGACGACTGGAAAGCTCAAATATCTTCTCCGCATTGTTTTTCTTTACGGTTGTCTCGGCGTAAACCGGTGCAACCCCATGTTCAATCATTAGTTTGGGGACGAGTTGCCCTCCCCGAAGTATGTCAACATCGTCCTTTTATCTATGATGGCACAAACAGCTGAAGCCAACGGAACACGAGTGTCTTTAGAAGGGCTTGTTACCGACCGACCGATAGCTGTGGGGTGCGTGCATGTTCCACGGGAGATGCCGACCGGTGCTAAATCGCTCACCGCAGTGTCAATTAGTCTGGTCTGTGTCTGTCCTGGGGAGGGCGCCCTCTCGGGCTGCCGTTGTCGCCTCTGCTGAAGGTGCGGCCCTCTGTCTCGGCATTACAGAAGGCGGCCGCCTCCCGGAAGCCCAAGAAGGTGGACGAGGAGGTACAGAAGCGTAAGCAGGCCCGCCAGGAGGCCGGCAAGAAGAAACTTGAAGCCGTCAAGGCCAAAATTGCCGCGTCCAAGGCCAAGAAGGGCAAGAAGTAAACTTGTCCCCACGGCTGAGGCTAAGACATTGCCTTTCAATATATTATAATGCCCGGTTTTTGTTGTTTTCTCTTCATTGTATGCACTTAAGGTTTCTGCAGCCGATGGGAGGGTGTTGTGGGTGCCTGGTATTGGGAACCTTAGGGAACTTCAATGTAACGCAGATTCAAGTTAGCTTGCTTTTCTGAACCTAAGAACATCATCTCTTGTTGATTATGGGGTCCGGTTCACTAGAGGGTGCAGTTGACATTTCGCGTGGGACTGTGTGATTGATGTCTGGGGCGGCCGGCTGGGCCTCCGGGACCGGGGACCGGGTTTTGCCCGGGCCTCCCGGCCGGCGTGCTGCCGCCTGCCGTAAACTAAGACGATCGGGCTCGGCTGGGAGCAACAAGCGACCTTTGTAAGGTTGACATCAAATAAGGTACGTGATATGCCATCGGAGGGAGGGGTGGCGTGGCTGGTGCTACTGTGGGATTTGGGAATTGGTATAGCGCGCTATGCTTTTGATTCCAGCAATGCTAATGACTTCTAGTGAAAATCGAGCATTGAAATGCTACGATACTACCGGTACCAGCCCTTCAGTAGTTTTGTAATGCTACCGCTCGCATTCTGGCAGTCTTGATTTGTCAGTACGGAGTAGCATAACGCGGTCCTTTTCAGGTCTGCCGGGTGCTGCTGATCAGACTGACCGCTCCATCGCTGTGCTGACCACTCCATGGCCCGGCCGGAGTGGCGCCGACTGCGGCGTGACGGCTTCGTTCAAGACTGGACTGGTGAGCATGCCGGCGGTGGCTAATCAGGGATAGCGACTTTGGGGACGACCCGCTTCGCCGATGGAACATTTGCCGCGGTGTTGGACGAAAGTTTAACGTGCCGTTGGGCGTAGATATAATGTGGTTTGTTCGACAGTATGTGCGTGAAAGAATGAATGGACGTGCGGCCGGTCCTAACGATATTACATTGGAGTGTGTCTTCATATGCTGGCTGTCCCGTCGTTGGGGTGTTTCTATCTGCACTGTGCACTGTAGATATAAAGTATGTGGAACAAAGTTTTAGATGTCTGGCTTTGGTGTCAATTTACATTACTGACTCTGGCATGTCAATTAACAGCCGGTGGACTTTCAATGTTAAATTTTGCTGGTGTTCTTGTCTTGTCTCGGTGCAGCCTTTGAATCACTCCATCCTAATTTTGGCAGTAACCATGCATGAATGACGGGCATTTGTAAGAAACCATCAGAGGCCTCGTCGGCTGTGTTTGGTAGTTCAGTAAAGTGTAGTTAACTCACGGTTGCTAGCGATCCTCGCACCTCTAGTCCCGCAACTTGCTATCGTTCCATGTGTTCAAGCTTATTGACTTATCCCTATGGGGAAGGCGAGCTTGCATGGCTCGGTGTCATTTTTCATTTGGTGTTTAATAGCTGACACTACTGAAAGCTTTGCTATAATAAGACGGCGAAATGAGGTTGACACGGCACATTTAGACCCGGGCTTTCACATATAACATGATGATTAAGTTTGCAGACATCAGTATGATGAGTCGAACTTGCCCTCTCTGAGGTGATTACCTACATTTTTTTTTAATGGATTCTGGTTCATACACTAATGCTGTGCAGTTCTCCTTTCCAGAAAAATATCGATTTCGAAGCACTCAGTGCAAGAAAATATGCTCAGTGGCGATTGGATCATAGCTGTAGAGGTATGTATTGGGAACAAATGGTACCGGGGGTCACATCTGCGTGTATCTCATCAGCTTTTTTACTTTTTGAATTATGCGACTTGATAATGATGATCCCTGCTTGTGTCCGGGCCAATGAGAGTACCCTGATTAGAACAACAAGCTCTGATAAACCACTAAATATCCGCCATTGCTCAAATTATCCCTGTCTGGATTATCTGACGTTATGCTCTCTGTGTTCCAGGTCGCTTTCCGGAAGACACGTATGATTTCTACACGGACATCGTGTAAATATGGTCTCCTGGGTGATAGGCGAAATGTTCCTGATACGGTGCAAATTCTTCACAGGTGAGTCTCGTTCCAATTTTTCGTACTGAACTTGTATCGGTACTGACCACCCGTAATGGCCAAAACTGCTGAAATGATGATTAAGTTAACTGACGCGCTGCGAGTGACGAGTTCTACTTGCCCTCTCTGAGAACGCTCCTCTGGTGCCCTGCTGCCTCTGATGTCCGTGTCCGCCAGCTGACGGTCTGTTCACATCACCGCAGGTGCCGGGAGTAGCGGCGGAGACTGCGGCCGTCGTCCGGTCCGCCCCTGGCCGGTACCGAGGCTGACGTGAACCAGACTTCCACACAGCCAGGTGTGTATTGTGTGGATGTGGTGGGAATTGGTGGTATATTGACAGCCGTTTCTGTTTTAACCGGTGATGTATTTGGGAGGCTAGTGGGACGAGGGCAACGGGAGAGAAACTCGTGTGATGATCCCTGCTTGTGTCCGGGCCAATGAGAGTACCCTGATTAGAACAACAAGCTCTGATGAATGTAAACGCTATCTGAATGCACTCATGGTGCCCTGCGCAGTGTTTTGATGAACACCCTCTGGTTTCAGAGCACGGCGATGGCTTATCTTGCACGGTGGATTCTGCTCGTCAGAAGAGGATCTGTCGTTTATGGTATGTTAAATGCTGAAGGTCGACTGTTGAGTCAGGGACACACATTTTTATTTTGAATGCATTGGCAGTCGGCATCGTGTCTAAGCCAAATGGAATCAAATTTCTGATTCAACATGCTCTTACGACTTTCTTGCTAATATGATGATTAAGTTTGCAGACATTTATGTTTGATGAGCTGAACTTGCCCTCTCTGAAGTGGCTTTCAGTTTAAGTGAAATTAATTCGGACGGAAGAGGTCGCTGACATTTTGTCTGTCTCTTTCTCCCAGGCATCCAGTGATGGGTACACGTAATATTCAAGACCACTTATACCTGAGGATTTCTGCAGGCCGTTACGTGGCTGCATACAAGGTAAGGACCGTTATTGATGCGGGGCATAACACCAGTCTAATTTACCAACCCAGCGCAACTATTGGGGATAAAAGTATATCATATTTTACAATATCCAATTTAACTTTTTTAAGTAAAACTGCAAGTTAAGTCATTTATGAAAGCGATGAATCTGCACAATCCATTTTTATTTCAAAGTTGTTTAACTGGAACGCTAGTTTGATGCTCCGCTTGGGAAGCGATGTATGAACATCACGATGACCTGTTTAACCGTCAAATGATGATCCCTGCTTGTGTCCGGGCCAATGAGAGTACCCTGATTAGAACAACAAGCTCTGAAGAATGTAACGTCTGGTTCAACGGTGTGTTTAGGTGCTAATCTATTGACAAACGTTGGGTGGTCTGTTTCAGCTCTCGACATGTATTCTGAATCAGTGGTGGTTCTCAGCATCGTGGTGATCGTCTGTCGGCTGAAAAATACTAGTAAGTTATACGCAGCTGTGCAAGGTCCATGTGAGCGAGGGGACTGCGGAACCACGGCTAATATGTACATAAGTTTCTTTAAGTATGCATCGTAACGCTAATTTGGTGGCTTTCAGTGTCGGCCCATGCCAGAATATTGCTTAGATATTCTAATTACCTTGACACCACCATAGCAACGCTGATTGTCGTGGTTGTTTGGTCAGAATATGGCATCTTTACGAATTTTACGAATATTTTACGAGCACTACAGTAGTGGCCTGCAGCGTTGCAAATATGGATAGATTTGAACTTTTACTGTCATGATGATCTCTGCTTGTGTCCGGGCCAATGAGAGTACCCTGATTAGAACAACAAGCTCTGATGGATGTCTGGGTCCTGCCGAGGACCTTATCTGTGAAGGTATAATAACCGAGCGTCTCTGTGTTTGTTTCAGGCCCCGGCCGCCGTTATCCGGGAGAGCGTCTCTGCCAGTCGTCATGGGACGGTCAGTCATTTACCATGACTGGCGAGTCGGCGACCGAAGTGATACCAAAGGACAAAGCGCGGGCAATGGCCCTTATGTTTCTGTGGCGCCGGTTATCTGATTCACCCCATTCGTGACGGCGTGGGGCGTCCCTGGTCAGAGGCCTGACCAGCCGGGGACGCTCCTCGCCGTGGTAACTGATGTGGAGAGCGCTCGCGAATCATGACCTCGGGACTGAATAAAGTTGGGTTTTAATTCCTCTTGTCTCTCAATGAAATTATGAATGATGTCGCGAATCGGATGTTGAGAGTTGAGAGACCGATATGTTGAGAGTTGATGTTGAGATCACCGATAAAGGTCCGAGGACCTTTACCTTGAGAACGACAATGTAACTGATGACGTCCTCGTATTCCTCGCTCGGTGGGAGTGGACTTTGTAGTGGCGTTAGGGTGATCATTTCATACGCCACATTCATTGACACGCCAGCTTCAGTAAAAGTCGCGATATGTTATCGTTTGACTGCGTTACGGATATTATTCGGCTCACACTGCTTTCTCACTCGGCTGTGTCCTGCAGGTGCAGGTGGCGCTGTGATCGGTTCCCACCCGGCTGAGGCGGCCACTGCTGCCGCTGGTCAGTGATTACTCGCTGCCGGTTTACTCTCGGTAGCATCTTGGGTAGCATGCACTCGCTGCTTCCGTGACCTTGCCCGCGTGTAGTATCGGAATATGGGCGCGTCGTGACCTCTGTGCGTGCTGCTGCCGGGTCGCCCGCGTGATAGCGCTGCCGTCACCGATAGTACGGCGATAGTCCGAGGACACGCCGCGCCGGTAAAACGGCCTTGACGGAAGGGACGCCGCCAGAATTGTCTCTGGGAAAACATGATAGTCTATGAATGAGCAATGCAATACGGTTACACTGGCGGGTGGTTGACTACATTGGCTTTATTGTAAATAGAATGCACAGTGCCTTCCTGTTAGTTGTTTCGAAGTAGAGTCCTTGAGACCTAATCGAGGCTGATGAGACTTGTAGAAGTCTGTATAGGAAAAGGCGTAGTCCGAAGAATATGAATGACTTGGAATTATGCTGCAGATTTGATTGAAGGAACACGAACACGTACTAGGGCACTGCCCATGCAGGACGGTAGCACCCTACTCTCGCTTTCAAATGCTCGGTATGACTAGTGTTAAACGAAATAAAAATATTTAAGAGCTGACTTATAGAGGTGGCAAAATGTGGACCCGAGGACCCGGTCCAAAGAACCAGTCTGGACCCATATGGGTCCAGACCGGTTCCTGGAAATTTTCTGACGAGTCCAACCGGGTCCTACCATAAACTGTACATCTTGCACACTACACATTATTGCAAAATATGAAGTGAATGAAGTGAATATTTCTTGGCACACAGTAGCTCATGAGTGGGAAATAGGCTGCTTTACATGATGCAACTAATGATACCTACAAGTAGTTTGTATTAATCGACTTTTGGGGAACCGGGTCCAACTGGTTCCGATTCCAACTAAGGCCGGGTCTGACTGGTTCCAGAAATGTCCAGCCGGGTCTGGTTCGAGTCTGGTTCCCAAAATTTTCATCTTTTGCCACCTCTACTGACTTACCAGTAATCTTAGCTAGCAGGATAACGTCACGGGACTCAAGTTATTCTGTTTCATAAAGCATGTGTCTTTTTTTAGTAAGCTAGCAGCTGCTCTGGTGGCCCTTTACCGGCGTTATCTTAGCTTCGTTCTTGGCTTCGTTTCATTTGAGCATGCATAGTATTTGGGGCGGTGGGGTTGGGTGGCCGAGGGCGAGGCTGCGGCGTCGTGAGTACCCCAAGCGGGAACCATTTACTCGGAGGGCGCTGGTGACGAAAATAAAGCTTCCACGCAACCACAGAACCCCGCTGAGTGGGGGACCGCCGCCTGGGAGGTAAACGGGCCTCCCGCGGAGCCTGGCGGCAGCGCTGCCGGCCAGACAGTCTCTGTTGGACGCTCGAAGGGGGTGTGCTACGGAAGAGTCTGGTGCTCCCTGGGAAGGAACTGATTGTAGCTCGAAATCACGGCCCACACAATCAGCATCGGTTTTCTGTTGAGTAGTTAAATGATCGTGAAGTGCTTGTCTTCGTGATAGTGGTGTTCAGATTCGTCTGAAGTTCTGTCAAAATGACCACTTCTCAGGTAAGCTGGTTTTGTTCTACCACTGAAAAACTATTGTTACCGATAGCGCAATAACGTTTTTGCAATAACGTGCCTTGGTTTGACTCAACTCACATAAGTAAACTTCATAAGAGCGCGTATATTCGAAAAAAATATAATTTACTAGCAGATAGTTTCGAGAGAAAAGAAACAACTGCGTCATATCTGTCGACCATCTTTCATGGTTTGTTGCCATTATTTTACATTGCATGCGCCGTTTGGGTGTGACTGGTTTTGGGTGCTGCGTGTTTTAGGTTTGTGTTGGTAATTGTGTGAATAAAGAGTGCAACTTAGCATTTTATCCATTCTTGTTGCTTCTTTATTAAATATTTTATCAACAATTCACTGTAGGTGCATTTATTTATCTGCTGTCGAAGGCGGGTCATCACGCTGCCTGACTTTTTCGAATATCGATCAACTCTGTTTTGGGCTCACATTTCATTTCTGTTTTCTGTTTCTTTGTGTGAATGATTTTCCCAGAAAGCTTGTGTTTATATTAGTGCTTGTCAAATTTTTGTCTAATATATAAATGTAGGTATATTGCTTGCTGAAGTATTGCCTTTGTATTTTTAAACGTCATAAACATGAATCATGGGTGTCAAGTAATCATTATCAATCTGTACTGATTCTTGATTGAAGTGATTCTTCATGTAACTAAACTACTTCATATATATGTTTTATTCATGTTAATAATGTTATAAACAAAACCTCTCATGATTTTATTTTTGGACATTCAAATACTTTAGAAATAACCACTTAGGGAAAATAACATTATGGTTAAAACTTAAAAGGTATTGTTTTAACCTTTAATATCTCATGTTTTCAGCCAGTGAAGATGCCTCAAGTGTTTAAGAGCCTGCTGGGCAAGAGCCTAGTGCACCGCCGGCCCAAGGATGAGGGCCCGTCTGAGATTGGTCTGCCCACAAATGTCACTCACACAGTACATGTCGGGAAGAATGAGGCCGGCGACCTAGAGGGCCTGCCAGAGTCCTGGCAGAGTTTCATTGATAGGTTTCTCAGGTAAGTCCATTGTCCAGTTCCACTGCCCAGTAACATAGTTGAAGATAGTCCTTACTCCTTGCTCTTTAGCAAGGGGGCAAGGGGCTATTTTGTCTGGATTATGTCTAGTATGATAGGTATATTGTCTCAGGAGCAGCTTGAAGTTCATTATAGTTCATGTTTGCTTTATAATTGTACCCTGTCAGGCATGCTTTTTATCATGTTCTTGTGGTTTGTTTTCATTTGATCTTTTGAGTTGTAGGGCATTGTACATTCATTTCATGATTTCATTGCTTACCTTTTCCAGCAAAGATGAACAAAAACAAAATCCAGATGCTGCAATTAATGCACTCAAGCTCTTCAACTATTCCATGAAGAAGCCAAATCAAAATGTTCCATTTAAGCCTTTCATCACACAAGACACCATCAATGAAGAGTTGGAGGAAATCAATCACATTCTTGGTAAGCAGTGTTTCATATTCTTTGATCCTGTTCAGATTGGGCCTTGGGGCTTCAGTTAAGAGTTGTTGAAAACGAGAAATTCATTATGTTAGCATCTGTTGTGGTAGTTGTAATATGTCCTTCATAGTGTGTTCAGTGTAGGTGCCTACCACTTGCTTTGTTCATGAAGCTGCAGCACCCGTTGGTGGGTGTTGCAAATGTATAATCCCACTGTTGCCATCATTGGGCAATATCTGCAGTTGTACCACCTACCTCACTGGCCACTCACCTCACCCCCTGTCCCCTCTGCCTCTGGCTAGACTCGAAGGTTTCGCTGAAGTCGACGGCGCCCGTGCCTCCCGAGGTGCCTGCCAACCTGAACAAGGTCAAACAGCAGACCAAAGAAGACGATGAGGTAGGTCGGGGTATGCATGCATGGCGAGCATTCCGTGCAAATATGCAATGTTGCCTCACCTCCATGATCAGCTGCATTGATTTGTGAGTTGTGACACTTTGTCTAGACATTATAACGGATAAATATTTTCCGGTAAAATTGACGAGATCGACGTCTTCCGACAGCTTAAATCCGTGCCATCATTATCATGAAATCGTCGACTTGCATGCATTAACTAATATGGCGCTTTTGTCACGGCGCCTTTCAGTTCCGACATGGCTACTGTGTGACATCTTACCTGACCTATTCCACGTCACCCCTTTGACTGCCCTGTCCGCGCACTGACCCCGTGGTATGACCGGCAGCCGCCGGCGGCGCCGCCCACCTCACTGGTGCCGGCTCCGGAGGACGACGTGCCGCCGCCCATACCCGACAAGGTGGGCCACAGAGGAGAGGGCAACGGCACCGCGCCCAGCCCCATGGTCCGCAAACGCACCGTCGAAAAGCCGAAAATGTCCAACGCGGCCGTGAACGAGGCTCTGCGGGAGATATGCGCGCCGGGCGACCCGCGAGAGAGGTTCGCCTTCGACAAGGAGCTCGGCGCCGGGTGAGTGGGGGCGGGGGACGAACGAGGGGAGGGGGTCTGGTGATGCTTGGTGAGGTGGGATGGAGGAGGGAGGGGGTAGCTTACAATGGGGCTGGACATTCGAGAAGCTTACGGAACTATGACGATTGGGCGGAATAGTTCGATGGGTATGCTCGCGAAATTTCTATTGAGATTCGCGGGCTGTGTGACTGGACGGCAGACCACGAACTCTGACATGACGGTTACCGCGGTGTCTGATCGTTCCTGGACGGGCCGGGATTGGGCTGAATCCACCGACTTGGTGACAGTGTGGGACGCTCTGTCGGTCCGGCGGCCCCCGGCTCGGATTTGGAGCTACTCGTAACGACGTTTGGATTCCGTGACAGCGAGCCTGAGCCGGTCTCGCGTCATCGGAGCCCCGGTGCCGTCATTTCAAAGACACCACGGTTTACCTGGGGTGGGGAAGGGGTGATGGTGGTGGTGGAAGACACCACGGAGTGGTCTGGGGTCACGGGTGTAGCCTCGGCGGCAGTGGCTGGGAGGAAAGGGTCCGTTTTGACCGCCGCTCGTGCCGGAGCTAGCGCCAGGATGTGATCTGCGTTCAAACCAGGGGGCCTGAATAGACGGGGCCGCTCCGATCATTGGTATGCG